TTTGTTCGGGTAGAATGGGATTCAAGCAGACTCTAACGTTGAGTCCGATTGGATCAGAAGTATGGGCTCCTGCCTGAACTCTGCAATACAGTTCAGGCAAGATGCATGCAACCACATTGGTCGATAGAAAGAAAAGCAGGAGCTGTATTTCCAACACTATCTCGAAAGCTCGAGAAAGCGCAATGTCGTGCATTGGACCCCCCTACCAACTTTTATTGACATAAACCTGAGCTTTGGTAGGGATGAATGACGCTGTGAGGCGCCTTTCATGATCGGGGTGTGGCATAGTCGGCGTAACTAATGCGGGTGGTAAGGCGGACGAGCCTGGGCTACTCGCACTCCCTGATCTAGTGTTGGTGAGGCTGGCTGCTCGCGTTTTGTCAGCCGCCGCTTTCTCCCTCTTGACCGCCTCGAGCTCACAGTTGCCAGCGTTTCGGATTGTGACAAGCTGCTCCTTAGTCAGAGCTCCAGCACAATTAGGTCGGGCGAGATTGTTCCGGCTATCTGCGCGATGAGGATCTCAGCAGTCGCGACATCTAGCTGCAGCGAGACATTCCCGTTCTGAATGCATCAGTGAGCCGCATTTCGGCAGGCTAGTGTCCGAGAGCAGCCGCCAGTACTGTGATACCCAAAGCACCGTTGGCAGATTGCCTGCATATGACGCTTCGGGACTGTAGCTGTCCGTCCCGAGTTCTCAACAAGTCGGAATGCTGTTCGAGGGGCAGATCTGCTCTCGAAAAAGGTTACCCAATGACGGTATCTGGCTCTGTACTTGCTCTTACCGTGCTGCCGCACGAATTTTGGTCTCATCCCAGTGACGCTTTCTATCTCAGAAACAATTTGGCCTTTTTAAATAGTTACTAGCTCATCTAGCAAGACAATTGGAAAGGGTATGTTTGGTAGCATGATGCTAGCCCAGTTTCTTGCTGGCTCGAGGCTAATATCTTACGGAGGGCGGCCTGCGCAGCTAAAGAGCAGCTTTCTTGCATCCTCATCTTTGGCAATGAGAACAAAGCCAGCTGCTGTTGGCAAAATTTTGTCAATGTTTGTCGGGGAACAGCTGTAAAAGGACTGGTCATGCTAGCTGATTGCACAAGTGAATCCAAAATGGAGTTTATATTCTGTATAACAAAAGGAGTATATGAACTACGCAATTGAGGATATGCAGAGCCTTATGTAACCAACCCGAACTTGGCTATCAAAAATGTCACGTGAACAATCATTACAAATGGAATCAGACAACTCTGATTCTAACCATACAAGGCAGTAAGCCTGTAACAACAGCCAAGCTTACTGATAACTGCTACCCGAATTCCAGCAGTTGATAGTGACCTCCAATTGTGATTCTTGGGGATCCGAAGGTATAGACCATCCTTCTTCTTTACCCCCGGCTCCTTCAATCCATGACCACTCCGAGATCAAATTTTTACAGCCAGAGAACTAGGTGGCTTTGACCGAGATTTCTTATCCAGGGCCCCTGCTCCTTCTCTCCGAGTTTCTTTTCCGAAATTGGCGGCCCAAGAATTAGCTTTAGGACCACTGGGAGCCGCAGTGCTGGGTCAGTGAGTTTCCACAGGCGTACATATAGTAGTCTTTTCCTGGGGAAATGCTGGCACTTTAGGCAGTACTGGGGAATAGCCTTGGGTCCTATCTGAATGAATTTGGCGATGGATACCCATAGATAGACTCAAAAGGCGTCAAAAAAGCTTTTGTGTTCTCCTGTTAGCTTGGGAGAAAGGTGGTTTTCAATGAATTTGATGGTCGAGAAAATTAAGATATTGGTAGCTACTTCTGCCGTCCGTCGTTTTTCAATTTCGACAAGGACGGCGATCTCTTCTGGGATAGTAGAAATGTTTGAGTCCTGCTCCACATCACTCCCTCTTTCCAGGGATTCATTACGGGGGGCATTGGAAGGGGCCATGATGATTTTGTTAGTTTCTAGCAGCCTTGTAGTCAAGGCTGCATTCTTTCTCTATGAGGTTGCTGACGGCCTAGGAGTAGTTGGCAACAGGATCAATTTCTCCATCTGCTGAGTTAGCTCAGAACCACCCATATTAGTTGGGGCAGCCCATATGGAGTCGTTTAGGCCTTTGGTGACAGATTCGTCGACGGCCCTGTCAATCATCTCGATCTCCGGGGTATCCATCACTCTGGTGATGATGGAATCTTCGGCATTGTCAGTATCCATCTCATTGATGGTCATGCTGTACTCCAATAGGCGCGACTTTAGTTTTAGCTTGGCGTAATGCACCAGCAAGTGCTTACGTCTCGTAACACGTAACAATGGCATGATCGTCAGCGGTATAATGGGTCCACGTGCTTTGGATATCTTGGGAGTGGTGGGAAGATAAAGATTGATAAGATGCTGAAGTGAGGTAATTGGAATGTCCGTAACACAAATAGGTATCCTGAGTAGGATTGTGCGAATGCGAGGTTGGCAGTGGGTTGCTGCTTGTAACTATGCTGTCTTGTGTGGTTATGAGCTGTGAGGTGTATGGCAATTATGACTCTGCTGTCTGTTGATGGAGTGCCACGGGCTCATGTGCGATTGTGAGTTGTGGAGATGGCGCGCTCAAGCTGGGTGATGGCACAATAGACACTGAGTGAGTATTAAATGGTGATCTATGAAGGTGATGCTGATGTGCATCCCAACAATTGACAATATCATCTAAGGAATGATGTGAAGTATGATATTATTCTGGTAGATTGATTCACTGAACTCGACGGTTGAAGAGATTGTAGAGTACATGAACAGTGTCTGTGCACAAGCCTGTATTTTCCACCCTTTCCTAATCCAGCAGCCGGAGAGAAAGACTGGGCACCTGTTCGCGGTGTCCTCTCCGAACCTGGGAGTGAAATATTCTCCCAGAGCCAAGTTCAGTCAAATTTCGCAATAACAAAGAAGTTGGTCCACGAGACAAAATTTCAAATTACTCTACCATGTCAATCTTTCACTCCCAACGAAATCGATTCCAACCTAAGCCTCATCAAGTCTATAAGTACGACCTAGTACATCCTCTTTTCAATGACCACACACCTCGTCGCCTTTCTCTGGCCTCAGCCGGTCACCAAATACACGCCCACGCCGATATTTACATCCGACAGAGGAAGCAAAGCGTGGCGCACAAATCCGGAAGAAAGTTCTTTGGGACGGACGTGAGAGGGATCAGGACAAGTTTACAAGATGATGCAGAAGAGGGAAACAATCTCGACGGGTGTGAAATTTCGAATTTTGGCAAGAGTTTTACGAATCGAGCTTTGTGCGCGCCAAGACTTCGCTTGCGAGAGTGCAGCTGACACTATAAAAACAAGCCGACGATGGAAGGTGTAGTGATCCGCCTCCTGGTGGTGTTCTCTGGTATAGTTTGAGTAGCCTGGGCACCTACTCCACTTGGGAGGGAGACATCTCAGATTATATTTCGCGCGGAGAAAAGTTAATGGATGATGGGGGCATGTCTGGATAACTCTGGGTTTTTGAGACGTTCCCTGGGTGGGTAGTCACAGATGAGGGTGGACTTGGGGTAAGGAAAAAGCCGGCATAACTTCGCAGTGGTACTTGCAAATGAGATGCGAGGCATGAGTGCTCCTTTTGTAAATTGAGTCATCTTTTCTGTACCTTTCTTTGATATTGTTTCATAGCAAGATAGCTGCATACGCAACTAAAATCTGATGCAAAAAGATAATAATAATAATAATAATAATAATAATAATAATAATAATAATAATAATAATAATAATAATAATAATAATAATAATAATAATAATAATAATAATAATAATAATAATAATAATAATAATAATAATAATAATAATAATAATAATAATAATAATAATAATAATAATAATAATAATAATAATAATAATAATAATAATAATAATAATAATAATAATAATAATAATAATAATAATAATAATAATAATAATAATAATAATAATAATAATAATAATAATAATAATAATAATAATAATAATAATAATAATAATAATAATAATAATAATAATAATAATAATAATAATAATAATAATAATAATAATAATAATAATAATAATAATAATAATAATAATAATAATAATAATAATAATAATAATAATAATAATAATAATAATAATAATAATAATAATAATAATAATAATAATAATAATAATAATAATAATAATAATAATACAGCAGCCCATCCTCCGTTCCCCCGTCTTCTAACAACCCAACCGAGCCAGCACAACAGAAAGACGTCCTTGGTACTTTGCAGAGTGCCGAACGGCTTGGCAACTATGGAGAATACCTGGACATGAATCACCACTAAGAAGTCGATTTATCTTGGCAAAAAACAGATGGGAGGAATTCTATAACTATACAACTGTAACAAGATGCTACGCAGGGCAATTTTCACATTGAGAGGGTTAAACAATCCCGAGGGACTGGAATATCTGTAGTAGTTGAATATGAAAGTGGGCAAGGCGCAGGGCGTTTTTGTCTGGGCAATTTTCTTTATTTCTTCTTTTCATGTAATCAATTGGTCATGAAAGCTGAACATGTAGGTATTAATGAGTCTCTAGGGATCACACAACCATATCATGCCTCTCGGGTGTAGGGCTTTTGCCTGATACAAAATTTATACATACAGATGTTAACATTGTGTCACGTGCTCAGCTTTCTTTCAACTGTTTGGCTAGAACATGGTGATGCCTGACATACGCTTGGTGCACTTGAAGAATACCAAGAAAGCTTCAAGTACAAAGTTTGGCCATGAAAGTCTTCACTCACAGAATTATTTACATCACATTCCAGCGCGCCCTGAAACTGAATGGGCTATAACAAAATCAATTAGATGAAACCTCGTTACTCTGTTTCAAGATTTCAATGTAGAACAAGTACATGATTCTTACATGCTTGAAAATTTTCTTTGATATCTTTTAGCCTAAAGTGGTTTCTGCACTGAGTAGAAGTCTCCAATCTTGCTGCTTTCACATACCCATCTTAGGTTTCGACTATCTTCACACACTTAGTCTACCCGAGTCACTGGATAGCAAGGAACTGTGTGACCTCTTGACGAAGCTTCCGCCTTTGTAATTATTTTATGCATGTTAAATGTTGCTTCAAACACAACATCCCAACCTATTGGACATAATAATTAGAAGGGAATCTTCTTTTTTTTGGAAAGATGTTTGCAGACCTTCATAAGGTGGATTTCGAGCTACTAATTCGATCTGTATTTTCCCAAATCTCTCATCAGAGTTGAAGGAATCATGTCTTTTACCACTTTGTATCAAGCTATTGTATTCTCCATTGATCATTGATTCTAATTTTATACCAGGGATTACTTCGCCCATACAATTGTAATTTGGCTGGGCAAAGATAGAAAGCGAAGAGCTTAATACAGTTACTAATGATAGAAGTCCAAAGTTTTTCATGTTGAAGCTGTAGAGTGTGGTAAGTGATGTGTATTATTTGGTTGCACCACTGACTTTATAATTGAGCTATCAAGAATAAATTGTTGTGTATCTAGATATTATAGGGGGGGGTATGCTTTTATACTTGCCTCATGAAGCAAGTCACCGAACGTGAGGGAAAATATGATGGCAATGATGGTAGATTGGTCATGTCTTGGACTTGTAATTTGACTCATGCATACCTGCTCTTGCAAAGAGTTATTATTTCCAATTGGCTTTCATAGCCATTGGCATTCATAATTACAAGACTTTTTGTGGGTGGATAGAACACCGAGATTTTGCAGGAATAAAATTAAATTTAAGCCAATTAGAAGCAAATTGTGTCTATTTGACAAAGTTATGTCATACTTATTACTCAAGTGTGATGCTATGACGGGCCTAGTTAAGAATCTGCTTGCTATATTATTGAATCTTATAGGAGCTCGGGATTAGGGTCAGAATGGTGCTATGTCTAGATTATGGGCTATTTGATGCACTGGACTAGTGATTGTCATGGATACACAAAGATGGGTAAATCTGTTGGCTCCATCTTGCATTATAATTAGAACAGTAAGATGGCACACTCATGTGCCGGCAGGAGGAGCGCCTCGGCTTGGCATGTAATCTTCAGGAACTAATTTCACTTGGACCGGAAATTGTCCTATCTTGGGAGCTATGTTACTCTGGGCAAGTGCACGAGTATTGTTGCTATCATGATTGGAGACGGAGTTGTCGAGACTCGCGCATTGGACGTGGCTCGAGGCCACAGCATACATCACCAGCGTCTTAATTAGGCCGACATGTCCACTTCTCTTTATCTATACACTCTAGAATATCCAATCCATCCTTGAGTCGTGTCGCATGGATTACCAGTAACATATCATTCACTACACTGTCTCCAAGTTCACTACCAACCACTGTCAAGTGTTCATCAGCCTCAAGAGTCTTGTCCGGTGGGAATCTTGTCTACTACTCTTCATGTGGCTTCCATTTCAAGCGTCAGCCGAGACACTTCTAATTGTCATGGAGTGCAGCTTGATATCCTCACTATATCCTTTGCATTATTCAGCTCAGCTTCAAATGACCAAGTTTCTCTCTTCTTCCTTTGGTCTGGTCGGTAGAAGTCGAGATCAAATGCTTGACATTTTGCAGCGGATATCTACATCGGCCTTGCAGAGCGTCTAGCCCAATATCACAGGCCAGAAAAGCCTAGCACAACTTGGGTAGAGGCCCAAGGCATCTTTTTATTGGAAGAGTTTTATGATTCAATCCTCAAGGATGTTAGGAGCTTAAACAAGCTCATGGTCAAATGGTTTTGTGGCGATGTAGCTGGGTCTGGGCTGATAGTAGAGAAGCCGAACAACCGTAAAAGGGGGCTCCTCCTCATCTTGCTTCTTCAATCCTTTCACTTCCAGATTCGGCATCAAGCCAGATTATGCATCTAGTCCATCCCCTCATTCAAAATTTTCATTTGCTCCTAAATCTAGATTATTTGTGAAAAACATCCATCTTATGACCCTTCTACCCGGGCGCTCCTACATACAGATAGGAATAGAGAACGTTGTTCTCGCTTCTTACTTACATACCTTCGCTCTTGCATGTACCAGCTCGGATCATGTAGATGACTCCACACTCGACATTCTTTACATAACCCAATACCTAGGGATGCATCCACTCGCTCTTACAACCTTAAAGTTACCGTGTAGGGGTGAGGTGAATACTGCAGGTGCCACATATTAAACTTGACCTTGGTGGGTGCCACGACTAGAAATCTCTGCCACAGCATTGAATCGAGGCCCTTATCAGTCATTTGATACGCACCATCTAGCAATTTATATTTATAATTTTTAAATTTCTAGTTTGCCATCCAACCATGACAAAAGATTAGTGCTATGTGTACATTTTGGTTGAGTCTTTTGACATTTAAGATACCCTCCCTGTATTTCTTTTGCAAATACTACTGTTACGGGGTGTTGGGAATATCGCTCAATGAAATGGGCGCAGGATTTATGGAACACAAATAGAATTGACTAAAAAAGTATCATGTTCAGATTACAGCTAAAAGTGTGGGAAGTGTTTGCTAAAAGTACAAATATTTTCCAGTGGTGCCGGTGTGATAGCTCAGTATCCTCTGCATATCTAGCATAGCCAAGAAGAATTGCATCCAAATCGAATTCAAAAGCAAATACATGCACATCTCAATCATGCAGCACTCATCATTATCTTCTGAGTCCTCAACCTCTTTCTAACCAAACCTCATCTCGCCTCAACAACCAATAAATGGGTCACCTGAAATGCAAACAGGAGCTTGCCTCATTGACTACTGGCCATCACTCACTACAAATTTATGCAGCTATGTATACCCGCAAAAAGGAAATTAAGTCATAATATACAAAGTTGGGGTCTTGGCTGATGGGGGACTGCTGCTCTAATGGGGCTATACATCTTGAGGGAGGACAGGCGACTGAGATGTAGAGCGAGAGGGGTAACAGGTCTCTGAAGACTATGCTGGGACTAAAATTTTTGAGGGTTTTTCAACTTTGGAATGTTTGTTAGCACCAAGACCGGAATTTCGGCAAATTAGTCAGCAGGGCTTCTTTTGTCAATGAGTCAAGGGCACCCTCCAGCTCCCTGGACGGCACAAAAGAAGACGGGCCAAGCTACTATACAGCAATCACGCTCTATCAAGACTTTTCCGACATTTCAGCTCGACCTTCAGAGTAAGGAGGCTAGAAATTCGGAGTGTGAATTTCCCGAGGTACCCACAAGTCTGCAGCGCTCAGCTAGCCAGTTCTACGAACGCTTCAGAAGGCTCAGTATGTCTTTGGATTTAGTTCTAATATCGGTACTAGAAGAGCTCTGCACCAAGTGGTTTATGCGAATGATTGCGGCTTCCATTCATGCACAAATGGCCATGGTTTTGTTGGCTGGAGAGGGGAGATTTTGAAGAGCAAAGAGCTCCTCTGAGTCTATGATTAAATGAGGACTTGAGAGAGGTGGTACTGTTCGAGAGAGCTACATGGGAGGCATAGAAGGGGATATAGTACTAGTATAGGTATCCTTAGCCTGTAGGCAGAGAGAACCTTGTTGTGATATCGCTTGTCAATGTCCGGCTCTGCGCCGACAGGTGCATATGCACGTCGTGCGTTGACCATGGATACAACCGCTGCTGCTCCTGAGTCTCGGACTTGGGAGTACCGGGTTGAGTCATTGCAAGGCAATGATTGGGGTAGCGACGTGAAGGGTCTACTGACCACGTGCGCTAGCCATAAGCGGTTAGACATTGCCGGACAATTACGGAATAGCGCCCTGAGGTATATGCAGACCTAGCGCACTATCGGAACTATACAACTGCTTCCGCTCCTGAGTAATGGACTAAGGACTGCGGAGCTGAGACATTGTATGGGAACAATTGGAGCGACGCTGTGGTGTGTATACAAACCACAGGCGCGAACCATGGACTAGATTGCTGTCGTTCCTGAACAGCTAGGTTCAGGATCTCTCAGCTGGGATATTACACGTTGTCACAGTTTCAGTACAACATGCTTGGGCGATCTTGTAGGCACAGTATATTAATTATAATTCTCTAGAGAGAGAATTCCTATGGCTAGAATACAAATATATATACACTCTGAGATACTCCTCTTCTGTAAGGTTCTCCCTATATCTGGAATAACATGGAATCCTCGAAAATACCCTAGAAGATTCTTGATACGCCTGTTGTCCTCATGAACCTTCAGTATGCTTCCAGAAAGTTCATTGAGAATCTTCTAAGCTCCTTCTATTCCGAGATCCTTCCCGAAGATTCCCTTGCATTCATTGCCTGCGCTAGCCAGCGTAGGCTACAGGAATCCCTAGGCTTAACAGCCGTTACACACATAAGTGATTGAGGCATTTCAGCGACGCGTACTCGGACCGCGCGCGCCAGCCACCGGAACAGCGGATGTCTCTCATGAGAGATGGACTCATGAGCTGCAGAGTTTTATCTAGGCACGCTGTTGGCAGTAAGTGAGGAGAGAGAGCGTAGACAATGACAAGGGTCATCTTAGAGTATATAAGTAGTCTATGTTCTGCCTCATGAACAGCATCAGAAAAAGTATCAGACACCTGCCAGCAATCAAATTACCAAGTATCAAACCATCTGAAAAATATTGTGACACATTCCTGTTGAAATTGGTGCTTCCAATTATGGTAAAGACAGGGATGTGTAGAAGACATGTCACTAATCTCCCATTAATTGTGAGGTTAGTATTTATGTGCTTTGACGTAAATACCAACCACTAGATTTTATTATTACAAAATATAGTTTATATAGCACTCTGTGTCCTAGTGGGAGTAATTAACAACTCTCCACAACATATTTACAGACCCCTTTACTTTCCCACTCGCTTCACCAAGTGATATAATCTGTGACTAACAGCCACAAGCTTTTGCAAACCAATCTGCTCAACAATTCAAAGTAACTATGTTCCCATTTAACTCATAACCTTAATAAACCTGCATGTCCTACATAGTCACCGACTCAGACCGGACAATAAAATGATTAAACAACGAATTAACAACAACAGTACAAGTGTAAGCAACTCAGCGCCTAACCCATAGCATAAACCTATGTGGCGCCATCTAGACATGAAACCCCCAAATAACCTCCTCATTCCCACGCCATACAGCCGCTTATAGATCCATCAGTTAGCCCGAAGCACTTTCATATTACCCATTCCAACCTCTCAGATACCCACAAGGTCTTATTAGGAGCCTCGAAAAATTGAAGGGCCCGTATGTCCACAACACTCTGTGTCTCCATTTTCAACAAAAGACCCTTCCAAATTCAAGAAAATTAGATTTCAAATTTTCAACCATATTTTCTCTTCTAACATGTGGGAGGGAACGAAACAAAAGCATAGAAGTGGACTTGACTTATTCCAAGTGACCATCATTTGTATTTGGTAGTTGGGAAATTTTTGTGTTTGTTTGTTTGCATT